AGTCGATATAATGTTCCATAAAACTCGATTCATAGTGCAAATATTTGAGCATCAGATGCTTAGTCATCCAAAGAATGAGAGCTCGCTTCATCAAATCGTATTTAAGTTTATAAATTTTATTCCATTTATCACTCACCTTTATGACTTATGCAACAAATATTTCATCCTTTTTTGCTTTTGGTTAAAGCAGATAGAGATGTCTTGCTGAATATTCTTTTTTTGTGGTGCTTAATAATCCACAAGAATCCAATTATTATTGACGAGAAATGCTGGATGAGATAAAAGGGTTTGTTTCAAAATGACGTTCAACTTTTAAGCGATGATAATGGGAAGTGGTTATGGCTGAGTAGCAAGCTAGCATATTTAACACAAAATTTTATGGAAGACATCATTTATGTATGATCCCCTCTTTTACAGACGAGCATTTTTTGACTTGTGCAGGACAAATTGATTATTTTTTGCATATTTATGTTCCCTTGTTCATTCCTGATGCTCGTCGTATTTTTGCATAATTTTATTGCTGTTAAAGGATCAAAAATTACATTCAACTGTCATCCTTTACTCCTCCTCAAAAAGTACACAAAAAAGATAAAAACATTTCATTACATCCAAATGACAAGGTTGAATGTCAACGATGAGTGTGTAAACAACTTTTTTTTTTGAAATGAGATACCCAAATTTAATTTAAACAACAGTTATTAAAGTAGTTTATTGCTTCAAACTTTACGACCCTTTTTAGAATTTGGAATGAACAAAATGAGATTTTGTAGCAACCTTATTTGTCTCGTACGAGACCCGAGAATGATATAATTGAATAATTTAATAAGAAAAGTGTAAAGGATTTTTTTGTTGTTGTTGGATGTGAAAGGTATCTGTTGCCGAGGTGCAAATAATCTAATTCTTTTTGTGTATTTTCTTCACAGTTTTCAAATTTTCCAATTTTACTTACTTTTAAATGTAATTACCGAAGTAATTTTGTTTTTGCTGAATGATAAAGTTTGGAAGGTGACGAAAACTTTTGAAGGACTTTTTTTTGTTGTTTGCTGTATCAAGGACTTGCGTCATGGTCATGTCCATTTTGGCATCAAAATATCTGTCAATTTCATCACATGTGCATTTATCTTCTTTTGGTTCTTCTTTGATTATTCACTCAATTTGATTATATAAATGGAAGCAATCAAATTAAAACAACAAAAAGTCCTCAATACACTTCTTAGGGAACGTTCATTTATGACGTCCAAAATTATCGGTCTTTTTTTTAAAAAATTCCAAGAATTTTTATTTCTCTTTTCTTGCAACCCCCCCCCCCCCCCTCAGTTAACAGCCTATTACAATCTCATGAAAAAGTGCGCTTGATATTACATAACATTAAATTTAGCAAGAGTTGACACAAGTTATGAAAATTTTGAACTTTTAAAGCGCATTTTTGAAGCCTTAGAGATTTTCTAGGGAATAGCCAGATAAGGTCTACTTGTAAGAAGCTACCACATAATTATCATTAAACTATCCCCTTTGCCTCCGTGTATAAAACATTCCAATGTATGCAAATCAGGAAGCTTTATAAGTTTCATTTTCTACAAAAATGATTAATCTCATTTCCAACTCCCCAAAGTGACAAGTGTCCTCCGCATCTCTTTGCCAAAATCACCCAGAAAAGAAAAAAAAAACAAAATCTTCAAAATGATAATCACGTCTTGTTTCAGAATGCTCCTTCATTATACTCAATCGTTTTTTGTGTGGTATGTTGTGTGCGTGTTGATGTAAAAGAAACTGACTTTATATATTACAGATACAGTACTATTACTTTGTACAATCTATCGACATCCTACAAATCACATACGAATTTATTCGATTTCATATCTTTTTGGTTCTGTTTGTGATATGACAGTAAGTGTATGTAATATATACACACGTATTTGGGATGGAGATGATATCTGTTTATGGTTCAAGATGTTCGATTTATGAAAAAAAAATAATTCCACCAAAAAAAAATAGATCTGCTACACGTATTGCTTTCTAGTCGCGGAATTTCAATTTATCAAATATTTATTTATTGAAATTTATGTTTTTATATTTTCTGTATTTGATATTTTTTATATCTGGCAGATAGCAAAACAAGGAAGGAAGTGCTTCGAAAGAAGAATGAAAATGATCAATGACCGAGAAATTGAATGGAAACTTTATCATCCGCAAGCTTCAAAGAGTTTAAAACGACATGAAAAATAAACATTTAAAAAATAATCGCTTAAAGGATTTCCAAATATTTGCAATAGATTTGAATATTTTAATTAAACATTTCATCATGAAAATGGAAGGAATTAAGTTTAATAAATCATGTCGTAATGCCTTGAAAATAAAAAAAAAGAAAACTCAAAAGTAAATATTTAATTTATGAAAATTTACAAAAGAAATAATTTCTGTAGGAAATTAAATGGGAAAAAAGCTTCTTTTTTTGATTGCGTAGCTTTTTTGAGCCTTCCCGAGTTGTACAGATTTGCTTGGAATGTTATGAAAGGAATTTCTGATTGCTTCATTTTGAAATGTTTTGTCAAGAATTTTAGGCAATGACTTATTTGATTCTGTTGTTATAATTGAATGCTATTTGAATTTAGGATTATATTGTTAAAATATTGTAAAATTTAGACACTTCGAAGGCTTTACTAAAGTAAAAGAACTCTCCATGTATGTAAGTCAAAAGTTTTTGGATTAAACTCAAATCATTGTTAAGTTACTTGGAAACCCAGCAATTTTACAACTTCAAAGATCTTAAGAGTTGATGGGTTCCTGAAACATTCTTAAATATCAGGTTTGGAGCGAGAATCTGAATCCATGATTATCTTGTGTGTGAGTTCAAAGAGTGATTGATGATTGTTCACGTGAATTAAGTATGAATCCTATTTTGAGTTGATATTTATAGTCGGCCATTACTAGAATAATCCATAAGTGAAAATCTCGATTAAAAATCTCAAGAATCATATCGATTCCTCAAAAGTTCTGTCTATCTCGGACATATACTTTACTACATCTGTTGTATCGTTCTAAATTTACATTCTCTAGCAAATTAATAATTTTATTGCCTGATAATTTTAGAATGTAAAATTTTCTTGATTGACAAGTCATTATCACTTCCATTTCAATTACTATAATTGAAGTTTTGAGATGAAAAAATTTCGTACTTGAAAAAATATGTTTTTTTGAGTAAATGGTGAGGAAAAGAGAGATAAGATGAATAGCTTTTGAAAGTTTGATTTGGAATTTTTGTAGCATGAGAAGCTGTAGGATTTTTCTATTCCGATATTTCATTCATTTTTGACTTTTCTTCTTCTTTTCATTTGAATGAGCTTTCATCATAGATGTGCAGGAACTAGCACAATGCTCTATCATTTGGATGGTGTATAATAGTAGAGGATTCCCTACATCTCCTACATTTTTCTTCGTCAGTTATGTCTCAAGAGAATTAATAACAGGGTAGAAGCTATTATTAATTGATTTTCTTCTAGATTGAACAGCTAAAGAAGCTTTACGTGCATGCAATACGAAAATACGCTCTAATTTTATAAATTATCTGCCGTTGAAGCTGTAATTATTTTTCTTTTTGTCACACAGAATTTCAAGTCACTCCACCGCATCTGTAGAAAATTTTTAATGACAAAAGTTCTTTAACCTATCCACCTACTCACGAAAATATTAATTAACTCTGGAATTAATCTCCCTTAAAATTTCAACCCCACCTTACGAAAAGACAAATTTTGCTCGTACGATAGAAAAGACCTGTAAAATTAATAAAATTTTCTCGTATCAACATAGTTTATTGACTTTCTTTCTGCTTGCTGTATGTGAATCTATGTGAGAACTCTATCAAAATTCTCCACAGTTTCGTACTTTATACCACAAAATCCATCTCGAAATTTCCTCTTCAGAAATTCATTTCATGTATTCATGTTATAAGCATATACACATTGCTAGATCATTTCTTCAAGAGACATTCCTTTTATCTTTCCACACGTGAATGAGGGAAGGAAGTGATGAAACAGATAGAAGAGAAATTTTGAGATTGGAATTTTATCAGCGCATTTTTGAATCAGAATTTACTGAAGTCTTGAGATTTATATGCAAGAATTAATCATAAACTTGAATGTGGTTGAAATAAAATGTTTGTCAACTGCCACAATCAGATTTTCAGTACTGGGGGTCCTCGATTTGAGTAGGTGTTTTGTTCCAAAAAATCCCATTCAAATCGAAACTACTCAAATCGAATTATTTACTTTTTGTATGAAAAATGCCCGTTACAGAAAAATATTTTAAAATTTCTATTCATTAATTCTCGTTACTCAAATCTTATCTATTCAAATCGAATCTACTCAAATCGAGGACCCCCAATATTAGATAGATTTTTGGTATGGATTTCAAATTTAACTTCTGGGGAATCATTGTTTTACTATAAAGTTTTGCGATTCTCAAGTGATCAAAAATAAAGAATGTTGGTTTCAATGCTGGAACTTAATAAAGACTTTTGAATAGATTAATATTTTAAGTTGGCATTTAGTAAAGATTTTAAGCAAGGCCTCATAGCGTAGTGGTAAGAATATGTGACCAGGAATCATAAGAGCGCTGGTTCAAATCCCACTCGAAACATGTTTTCTTTTTTCTGTTTAATATCCAAACTTAGGTTCTTCTTAGATTCATCTTCAAATTTAAACATCTTAGATCCATAAAATCCGCTAAGTATATCCTAAATCTTTATATCTTCAACAAGAATCAATCCATCTAACCTTAAGTTTAAAGTAGAAATTATGTTAAGTCTTTCAATATATTTAAGACATAAGAATCAGGTATCAATATCAACCAGTCAGACAAAATCTTTCAAAACCGTTCTCATCATTCCCAAAAAACATGTGTATCAAAAAACTTCCTCTTACCCCCAAAAAACACACACAAAATAAATATCACTACACGTAAAATTTTCTCTTTTTCTTCCTTTTCTGTATAACACAAACTAGAAACCACATCCTCATCGAATGTCGGAGTGAATCAATTTAATTCTGTCACACGCACCTCATCATCGTCCAATGATGCTCGATATCATCACAGTGAGGAGGAGAAAGGGAACTATGAAATTGGTAAAGACGAGTACATACAAAATTCATTAGATAGACGACCATATTTTGAGGATTCTGTGTCAAAGAATGTTACAGCACTCATTGGAAGCACAGCGTACCTTAAGTGTCGTGTACATAATCTAGGCAATAAGACAGTAAGTGGTGACAATGAAGAAGCATTTTCATCGCCATTTTTTATTTAAATTTTTTTTCGTCCTTTTTTCTTTCCCGCTAGGTGTCATTTATTCGACATCGAGATTTGCATCTTCTGACGGTCGGAAAGACCACTTACACACCTGATAATCGCTTTCAAAGTGTACACAATTCTCACACAGATGAATGGTCGTTGAAGGTAATTAGATTTTAAGAGCTTTTCATTTACTTTGAGGATGGAAAAAAAATGGAAAAATTATGCAAAAAAAATGGTTTTTTGTTTCTTGGTGAGCTTGAAGGGATCTGTGGGCAGATGGTTAAGAGTTTTTGGAATTTTCATTAGATATTAAGTGTGATGAAGCTGTGAATTAACAATGAATCATGTCATTTTTCCTCTGAAATTACCTATAACTTTGAAATTTTCTAATTAAATGCTACACAAACTTAATAATAACATCAAGCGGAAATTTTGAAATGAATAAACACAAACCTACAACAGAGTGCAAATATTATTTTTCCTAACATATTAATTTGAAATTTATGGCAGATGCTTTTTAGAAAATTGATATGTTTTTCAGCATTAATGAATAATAATTTTTTTTTTGATAAATATTAATGAAGATAGTTTTTCCATCAACAGTGGTTATATGCAGGGAGAGTTGCTAATAAATGGAAATATATTCCAAATTGTTTTAGCGTTGATGGTTTCATTGAAGTTCTATTGTTCAAATATATTTAAGGATACTTTTTTTAAAGTTTAATTGGATTTTTTGGAATTAATTTAAAAATGTCGGAATTAAAAAAAATTGACATGCATTTTAATCAATTTGAATAATTTTAAATAAACAATTCCCTTAAGTGATTCAGCCCTTCCATATCTGAAAAAATATTCACTGATAACTTTATATTATAAATATTTAAAAAAATATTAATGTTCAATCTGATATCTGGTCAGGTGAATGCTGTCGATAGCGATTAATTTGATATCTTTATTTGGACATCATGATGAATGCTTATCATGTAAAATTGTCCACAGATGCTTTAAACTCTAGAATATTTTTCAATCAAAAAAATCAAAAAAATATGATCAAAAAGATTCATTTTTTATAAAACAATTTAATTAAACATAAAAGGATCCCAATTCACAGACATTCAAGAAAAACCCTTTTTCAGCTCATTTTCTTCGATTAATTAAAACAAAATTTTACAAGAAAATAAATAAAATTAAAAAATCATTTGATAAAAAACAGGAGACACTCGACATTCTCATCATAACAACAGAATCATCTTAATCAAATGACATCAAATTGTAACAGAAACAGACAACAACCCCTTTTGGAATTTAATTTTCATGTTCTCACTATAACAACGAAACTCAATTCAATGAAGTAAAAATTAAACTTTTCGAGTGCCTTTTTTTGTCTGTTCACGACCTCTCTTTTCTTATCTTTCCTTCAGTCCTTTTGTTCTTCTTGTATTCTATGACAGCACTGATTAAACTTTATACCGACAAAAGCTTGTAATTAAATTTTAATTGAGTTTCGTCCAAGGCATTGTAATTACATGAAAATATTTGCTGATGTTGAGAAAAATGCTTGCTTAAAGGTTGGAAAAATATCAGTTGCATTAACAATAGGGTTTAAGAGCTAGGTCAGTGCATGCATAATTAGTGGATACTAAAGAATCCATCCATTTGCATAAATTTAACATTACTATGAAGGATCTTTTGGATGTTATGTAACGTTTAAAAGATAGGAGCTAACACTAGGCTATGTCAGGCTACTAGTATCGATTTATAAGAGCTATTTATCAGATTACATAACGTTCAAACAATCCCCGATGAGAAAATTTCGTGGAAAACTCCAAGTTTGATTTATAACGGATGAAAGGAAGTGGTTTAAGCAGCGAATTGTGGTTATTTAACATCAGAGATTGCATTCGAGCAAACAATTGCAATCTTTTCAACAACTTTCTGTAACAGGATGGAGCAATGAAATTCAGTCCACTTAATTAATGCTAAAAACGTGATAGTTTATTTATGTTGATAGGTCAGTGCATCTAGTCTTTTTATTACTACGTTTTTCTTAACTTGCTTTCTTGTTTGTTTGTTTGTTTGTTTGTTTGTTTGCAAAAAATTTCAAATCTTGCGATCAATTTTTCGACCACTTCTACTGCTCCAATCGAGCTCAAATTTTTAATGCACATGTATTCCCGGTGACAATACAATATTTTAACACTTTGGAAACACAAAAATGCTTAATTATAGTACAATTTATGTAAAACTTTTTTATATGGGAAAAAATCCAATGTCAATGATATAAAATTTTGATTTGTATTAAATATTATACTTGTGATGCTCTAAAGTCATTTATATGATTCATTATAGTTTAATTAATATTACTAATTATTAATTATACCATAAATTTGAGCAGCTAAAGATATTCTGGTAAGACAAAAAAATTGACATGTAATTTTTTCATGAATATTCGTAAGTGAAAATTTGAATTTTCAAAAAAACCGTTAAGCACAAGTCCGTTACGAATTAATGCAAAATAACTATTAATATGCGATGTGCATTTAGCACACATAGTTTGAGCATAAATTTATGCTGTTTTAAATGTATTGCATTATTTATAACACTTCACCAACTTAATTAAATTGACTTTTCTTTTTATTAACGGTTTGACGTATTTTTGCATAACATATAAATGATATTCATTGAATTTAAATTTGAAAATCCGTTATAAATACGTTACATATAGATTTGATTTGCATCTTTATGTTAAGAATCCACACGTTATGTAGTAGGAATGGTTCGGATAAACACAAAATCTTTACGAGTGATTTTTAATGTACTTTACTAATGAATGCTTTAAAAAAATTAAATTTTATAAAACGAATGAAAAATTTTGAAAGTCGTTACTAATTTCCCATTGAAAACTGGTAATTTATAAACAGTTGAACGCAACGAAGTGAAGTTCAACACACCTGTAACCTATAAACCTACTGTAATCTAAAAACAGTTGAACGTAACGAAGTGCAACGAAGTGAAGTTCAACACACCTGTAACCTATAAACCTACTGTAATCTATAAACAGTTGAACGTAACGAAGTGCAACGAAGTGGAGTTCAACACACCTGTAACCTATGAACCTACTGTGATCTATAAACAGTTGAACGTAACGAAGTGCAACGAAGTGAAGTTCAACACACCTGTAACCTATAAACCTACTGTAATCTATAAACAGTTGAACGTAACGAAGTGAAGTTCAACACACCTGTAACCTATAAACCTACTGTAATCTATAAACAGTTGAACGTAACGAAGTGCAGCGAAGTGAAGTTCAACACACCTGTAACCTATAAACCTAATGTAATCTATAAACAGTTGAACGTAACGAAGTGCAACGAAGTGAAGTTCAACACACCTGTAACCTATAAACCTACTGTGATCTATAAACAGTTGAACGTAACGAAGTGCAACGAAGTGAAGTTCAACACACCTGTAACCTATAAACCTACTCTAATCTATAAACAGTTGAACGTAACGAAGTGCAACGAAGTGGAGTTCAACACACCTGTAACCTATGAACCTACTGTAATCTATAAACAGTTGAACGTAACGAAGTGCAACGAAGTGAAGTTCAGCACACCTGTAACCTATAAACCTACTGTAATCTATAAACAGTTGAACGTAACGAAGTGCAACGAAGTGAAGTTCAACACACCTGTAACCTATAAACCTACTGTAATCTATAAACAGTTGAACGTAACGAAGTGCAGCGAAGTGAAGTTCAACACACCTGTAACCTATAAACCTAATGTAATCCATAAACAGTTGAACGTAACGAAGTGCAACGAAGTGAAGTTCAACACACCTGTAACCTATAAACCTACTGTGATCTATAAACAGTTGAACGTAACGAAGTGAAGTTCAACACACCTGTAACCTATGAACCTACTGTAATCTATAAACAGTTGAACGTAACGAAGTGCAACGAAGTGAAGTTCAACACACCTGTAACCTATAAACCTCCTGTGATCTATAAACAGTTGAACGTAACGAAGTGCAACGAAGTGAAGTTCAACACACCTGTAACCTATAAACCTACTCTAATCTATAAACAGTTGAACGTAACGAAGCGCAACGAAGTGGAGTTCAACACACCTGTAACCTATGAACCTACTGTAATCTATAAACAGTTGAACGTAACGAAGTGCAACGAAGTGAAGTTCAACACACCTGTAACCTATAAACCTACTGTAATCTATAAACAGTTGAACGTAACGAAGTGCAACGAAGTGAAGTTCAACACACCTGTAACCTATAAACCTCCTGTGATCTATAAACAGTTGAACGTAACGAAGTGCAACGAAGTGAAGTTCAACACACCTGTAACCTATAAACCTACTCTAATCTATAAACAGTTGAACGTAACGAAGTGCAACGAAGTGGAGTTCAACACACCTGTAACCTATAAACCCCCTATAATCTTTATTTCTCTATTTCATTAGAATAAGACTAAAAAGTAGAAAATAAAATACTTTATAAAAAAAAACTTTTTAAAAAACTACGTTTTTCGCGTAGACTAAAAAGTAGAAAATAACTTTTATTCTTGGTTGTAAAGAATTTGGTTTTAAATTTTCAGATTATATTTAATAAATTTTTATATCCTAGTCAATATTGTTCACAAAGTTTCGAATAAGTGCACTTTGATCTTATCGTATAACTCAACAACTTAAAAACGTGGGCGCATTAATTTAAGTTTATCATAAAGTATTGATTTCACATAAACTTATTTCTCCTCTTATAATGCGCCCACGTTTTTAAGTTGTTGAGTTATACGATAAGATCAAAGTGCACTTATTCGAAACTTTGTGAACAATATTGACTAGGATATAAAAATTTATTAAATATAATCTGAAAATTTAAAACCAAATTCTTTACAACCAAGAATAAAAGTTATTTTCTACTTTTTAGTCTACGCGAAAAACGTAGTTTTTTAAAAAGTTTTTTTTTATAAAGTATTTTATATATCGGATGATAGTGGTTTATCATATAACATTAATGTAAATATTTTACTCAAAGCTTGTATCTGAATATTCATAAGAGTTTATCTAAAAAAAAACTTTTATAATGACCATTAAGAATAATTGAATTTTATTTTATACAAAAATGAACTATTCAATGGAATAGAGAAGAGTAAAGTGGTAAAAAGTTTGTTTTTCAATAACAGAAATTCAAATGAACATAGATACTGAAATGCCTTACAAAATGAAAATGTTCTCAACACGAAAGTGTATTTAAATTAGATTTTAATACGCTTTTATTTAACTAGTTTTGAATAGCTTTTCTGAGAGGATTATAACTGAAAGTTTTAATCAATTTTTTGATTAGTTTTAATTGTTTTGTTCGAGCTTAGTTTTTGCAATGTTTGCTCCAGATTTGTAAGTTGTTTTATGGAATTAAAGTTGACTTTTAATGTGAAATGATATAGTTTTAATGATTTTGAAAGTCGAAGTGAGAAATCCGAAAGAAAATAAAAACTAATCCAGAGTCAATTAAATTAAATTTTTGAAAAATTACTTTTAAATAAAACAGATTAAAATTCATTTAATTAATTATTCCTTTTTCGAAACAATTCCATTAAAAATATGAAAAAGTTTGAAAAAAGTTGTCAATCGTCAAAGAAAAAAGATTTAAAAATTGCTAAAATTCCCATTTCAAAAATCCCCATTGATATATGAAATTTTAAGCCACCCCATTAATTCTCTAAAAGCGTTCCTTGAAAACTTTTTTCAGCAACTTTTTATAGATCCTTTTAATCCCGTACAAAAGCTACCATGTAAAACATTTTCATACAAAAGGTATCAGTTTAAATGTGGAAATAAGAAAAAAAAATACAAAAGTTTTTTATTTCAACACTCAATTCCAGTTTGCTTTAAAATTCGCTCATTTACACTCATGTAATTAAACTCAAACAAAATTTTTCATAATTATTCCATATTTTTTCGTGCCTTACCATTTTTCTTTCTCTTCTCACGTTTCACATTCTTTTTTTTTTTTTGAATTTCTGCATGAATCCTTTAGGTACTTTACACAAAATTCAATGACACTGGAGTGTATTCATGTCAAGTCGGTAGTGCCCCACCCGTTAGCATAACAATGTCACTCTTCGTTGTAGGTAAATATTAATGTTATTTTATTTAAGACAAAGGATGGAGGGACGAACAGTAGCAAAAAAAAAATGTTCGAGCCATGATGAGCTTAATGAGGAATTTTTTTTTTGTGTGTTAAAATTACTTTTTCTGTTTTTGCCATATTATAATGCTTTCATGCGGCAGGTTGAAGCTGTTTCTTTTTTGAAAGGTGGTGGAGACGAAAAAAAATTTTTAATCATGCTTCTTTTTGAGAGATTGCAGGTTTTTTTTTTGTGTGAACCACGTAATTGCTTTATAGCGCAAAAAGAAGGATTTCTGTTAATGACTATAACTAGCAACTATGAGATTATAATAATCCGCAAATTTATGACCACTTCTGGATAGATTAACGCTAGGTTGATGGTTATGATGGTGATTTTAATTGGAATGGAAATGTTTTTTTGGAGCTGCAATTAATTTTTTGAGGAGTGGTGTTTTAATAAAGGAAATAACCGTTTTAAACTATGTTAATTTGATAATATTTAAGAGCTTGAAATTAAATCTATCTTTATCCTTATTATGAATAATATGAAGCTGCCATCATTGATTACTTAAGGATTAATAGAGCATTACACTCTTAATTGAATTTTCATCGTCAATTTTATCGTATTTTCTGCACAGCTGATCAAATCTCAATGTCATTCATAAATTACTGCTTCATCTTATTGTTAAATGAATATTGATGAAAGATGTAAATGGCATAACGGAGTGGAATAAGAAAAATAGAAATGATGGAGTGCTACAGGAAATAGGAAGACATTTTCATTATTTTCTTATTAAATTTTAATCAACTTTTCAATAGCAATTCAATGATTACAACTTCGATAAACATTCAAAGTTACAAATAGTTGTAAATTCTGATTTTTTTTACATTTTGATTCAATCCATTTCTGATCTAAATAGAATCCCTAAAATTATTAAAAACTCAACAATAATGTAAATAATTTTCGAACAATTTTACTTCCATTACTTTGAAAATTGCATCGTAACATTCAATTTTAGAATGATAATTTGGAAAACAACATTGTTGAAATTGAGTTCATCACAACATGACAATTCTATTCATAATTTAGTATTCCTTAGATAATTTAAATATTTTCAATTTTGATTGGCTTCCATTGTTGGTTGTTATCATAAAATAACTCAATTACAGTTGGAATTGTTTTGAAAATTAGCTCAAGTTTCAATCATTTGCTGAACATTATAGACGTCGGAATTTCCAAGATTGATATCGTATTCAGAAGAGCCTTCATCATTGTTTTAACAGAGTTAATTAGCAGAAAAAGAATGATTATAAGCTCTAAATGCCAATTAGGTACAGAAAATTTGATCGGATTATTCTAAATTTAACCTTAATATTCATTAAATTGAAGACTTTATATATTCCTAAATTACTCTCCAGCTAAACCATACGCAAAATGAATGCATTATAAATTATTCAAATATTTTTTGATTGCTCACCCACAAAATTCATTTCAATCGAATCTAATTCGTCAACAGCAGACTGACATAATATTCATTTGATAAATCAAAATTCAATTTTCTAATAATAAAACTCATTTTATTTCACCTATTTTAATATTCACCAACAAACAGAACCGTTAACATTGATAATGGGAATGCCTGAGATGTTTATTGGTATGTATAAACCACATTGAATATGAATAATAATGAATGATGCATCATCATCAGCATTTCAATATGTTTTGTGTATGCATTATTTACATATTCACATATCTGTATGATGAAAAATCTCTTTTAGAGTACGGTTCAACAATCAACTTGACATGCATCGTCAAAAGGTCGCCTGATCCACCCACAAATATCGTTTGGACACATAATGGAGAGGTAAAATTGATTTTTTTTCATTTTATTTGAATTTTAATGTTGTGTCATACATTAAATTATGTTTTTATTTTTATTTCACTTTACTGTCGCATACTTTGGCTTCAACAAAGTGGAAATTTAATCATGAACAATATAATTTTCATTTCTATTAATGCATTTTTCACATTCCATGTTGAATACGTGTCATGTTCCTTGAAGTGAATTTTGTTAGATTTTCTTTATTCTTTTGTTGGTCGATTTGTGAACTTTTTAAGTCAATAGTTCAGATTAGTTGATACTGAACATATAAATTCTAGATTTTAATACTAAGTTGACCTAAAACGATCACAACCTATCTTAGGTAGTGTTACCAAAGCAGTTTGAGAAAGGCTTTATGTAGATTCCCAAGAAAAACCATAAGGATGTATTTTAGCACTTAGTTCTAAATAAAACATAGGTCTAATCACACGTCAAACCTCAAAATCCCTTAAAAACCTGACAAAATTCACCGCAAGGCCCAATATTGTGTGCGAACATTGAATAAAATAAACATAATCACCATATTATACATAAAATACATTATAGGAAGTGAATTATGATAGCAGTCGAGGCGGCATATCCGTAATCACAGAAAAGAGCGACATAACAACTTCATATCTTCTAATTCAACGCGCGAAATCAAAGGATAGTGGATTGTATACGTGTTTGCCATCAAATGCAAAACCTGCCAACATAACTGTTCATATTCTCAATGGTAATTTAATTTCTTTCATCATCATCATCATCAACTACAACAAAAAATAAACATGACTGAATGATGGTTGCTTTGTAAAATGTGCTATATGTGCACTTTAGGGCTTTTTGTTCCATTTATATTCTCTTTCTTCCTGGCTAAAGCTGAGATGTGAAGAAGTAAAAAAAAAATATATGAAATAAATGACAACAATGCACATCTATACAGCACAGAGCAAACGAGCAGGAAACATATATTCAAACACAAAAATAATTCTTGTGTTGTTAGAAAATGAAATGAATAAAAATGCTTTTATGATGTTTATGATGGATGAATGAGTGGATAAAGAAGAGTATCAAGAGGATTGTGCTTTGATCATGTGAATGGAAAAAAAGACAGAGGAAAAAAACCTTACATTATAATTTGTAGCTTTGCTTTTTAGTGCCGTTTTTAGCACTTTTGACAATGAATTGGGGTTGCTTTGTAGTGTTTTTGGAGATGGGATCAGTTGATGATTATGACTGATTTGATTTATTTAAGTTTTTTAAAGGGGACGTGGAGTTCAGATAAGGTACATTTTTGAAGTCATTGAAAATTATTTTTGAACCCACGACCTCAAAAGAAGTGATTTCTATGTGAATTTGGCTCGAAGAGCATATCTGTAGTAGATAGGCCTGAGCATAGGGCTCGCGTGGAAACTGATTATATCTGTATGACGGATTGCCCAAGTGAGATAAGAACCTCGGTGGTCGAGTGGCAAGGATCTCTGATCGAGTGGTCAGAAATCACCACTTTTGAGGTCGTGGGTTCGATTGCCATCGGACCCGACTTGTTTTACATTAGAAGACACATATAGCAGTTATAGGGAGATCTACAGGACATACACAATATGTTAGCATCAATGTTCATTTTCTTATCTTGTCTAAAATAGATTATAGTCAATATTTTCATAACTTTAATATAAAAGATTCGCTTTCAAAACAACAATCCACATCAACATTAAACATCAGTTGCTTATCAAAGATACTCAAAGGACATTGACAAAAGGATACATTCTTATTAAGTCCTAAAATCATCTCAAAGAAAAAAAATTCCAAATTAAAAATATCCTTTATGCTGAGTCACATAGAAATATGAGCATCAACATCTGTATTTTAATACTGTATCATAGAGTCATATCCCCCACTAGCTTCATGATAAACCTTCCTTTAAAATTATGATGGAGTTTTATTTTTGTTCTCTCAGTGCGACACTAAAGATTGTAAATCACAGGTGTGGGGAAAATTAATGACATTTAAAGAATACGACAACAAAAGTGACAGCATAAATTCTCAAGAACATGAAAAGAGAGATGATTTATTTTTCAAGTATTATAATTTTATGCTGTTATGGAATATAAAAAAAAACTTTTTTTGTCACTCTTGATTTAAAACTTTTTAAAGCTCCACAAGAAGCAAAATTCATTTTGACAAACGAGTTAAAATTTTATACCTTAATGTTCGGAACATTAACTCATTCTGACGGAATGTTGATGCTTATTTTTTTTTTTTCTGGTGAATTTACTTTCTGTAACGCAATCGAGGAAGCTTAAATTAGCCTTGAAATGAGATTGAGTTGTGTCTAAAGAAATGTGTCAGAAACTCAACGGGAAATTAAAGGGAATGAAAAGGCTTTGGGATTAAATTGAATAAAGTACAATTAATTTGGTGAGGAGATTTTTGGTTGGAAGCTTTAATGGGACATTTTGGGAATGTGTTAATCAGGTTATTACTTGTATAGACAATGACAGAGCTATACAATTAAACTGTTCAGGTACTTCTAAAGAGAAGGAAGTCACAAGATCTTACATAAACCCAACTTAAGACCAAAAATAGAACTCCTTATGTAATTTAAAAAGACCCCCTCAGTTCTAAAATCTAAGAAAAATGTTAGCTAATTTACAAAAGTTCAAGCTCCTTCAAAAATCATTCCGGAAGTATCTTTAAAATTCAGCACAATACCTCCCAAAATTACGTAAATTCAGTTCATTATGAAGGCTTTTCATAAGAATACTCTCGCATACTCTTAAAAATCTCCATTTGAAAACACGAAAGAGAAGCACAAAAGAGGGATTTTAGGGAAAATTTAATAGATCCTTATAAGTAACATCCCAAGTAATCCCTAACAACTTCCATCTAATATTCTCCGGTAAATCACAGATAAACTTTTTAAAATGTTTTCCTGCCTTCAATATTGCTAATAAACTGCACAGCATTCAAAACTTACCCAGGCATAAAATTCACAACCATGATAAACCAAAGGCTTTGAACAAATTTCACCTTTTTGCAAACAACCTCGTTTCATGGCTCACAAAAAAAAAACAGAAAGTAGAAATTTCAAATCAAAATTAGCTTCGTTACGAATTCAACGTGTTCAGCAGAAAAGAAAGACTCAACTACGTAAGCATAGTTGTGCCATTGTGCTGCTTCCGACATAACGGAGCAAGAGAAACTCTTTCATTCTCTCAAAGGCATTCTCTTCCTTATGACATCAACATTTTGAATCCTCGAGTACAGCTTTTTATATTTAATTTAAAGGATATTTTTTTTTGCTCGTCGTAGATGAAAGGAGAACTTTAAATCAAATCAGATTCTACAATCTTTCGTATAAAAGAAGTGAACGTCACTTCATTCTCAGTGACTTAGCAACAAATCATTTTCGCTTTATAAAAAGTATTTTTTTACCATTGACTTCTTGGCGGAAGCTGAAAGAACAAGACAAAAAAAAATTTAATTTACTGCAGATGTACTTGAATTTTTTTTTGTTCTCTTGTGCAAGCAAGTTCCTGACATTCTGATGTATTATATTAAATAATGTGTACGTGATGTAACGTTACAGTGTTGAGTATCGAAGGGAAATAAGCTGCTTGTAATTTTCTTTATTGGATGAATAACATGTTAGATTGTTCAATCAAAATTGTTTTATGACATTGAGCAGTAGTCTGACTACTTTTCGTATAAATTTTTGCATTCGAGACTCTTATGTGTAGTCGAATGTAGATTTTTGCTGCTCAAAGATAGGAGCAAGCTGATTGAAGTAGTAAATGAAAAGCTTTACATCATTTGGATGGATAGTCAGTCGTTAATGTAGTTAGTCTGATTATTTTTTGCATATTTGTAGAGAAACATAGTTGCATGATTGTGTATGCAATGATTTCGTCGACATACTCTACTTTAAATCTGGATAAAAATGCTGGATATTTGATATTTACTGAAATTTTGCTCGTCATTTGAATCTTTTTTTGATATTACAAACTTCAATTCTTAAAGCTTTAAAGCAAGACAACCATAATTTTTTTGATAATACAGTAAATGTTGAATGCAAAGACGAATACAGCATCCTATTGGATGCTTAAAGTATCCAGGCTTACCAATACGTCTCTCTTATCTTCATAAAGTTCAAGAACAATGACAAAATCGACAAATTTCTCATCAATCACCTTATTGTTGTCATACTCAATAATAATCCAATGTTGATTGACATCCTGACTAATGAACACAATGACTTGATGATTATCATAAACACAGATCAAAGTCACTAGGAAGTTGATAATCCTTAAACATAATCCAGCCCATGTTTGCCATAAACTCAATGCAAATGCAGATAATGTTTTCTCAAATTGCTCTCGAGGAGATGAAAGCGATGAGGAAAATTGAATTTCATCAAGTAGGAAGAAAGAGAAGCGCAACAATATAGAAGAAGAAGAATAAAAAAGCTGCAACTATAGTCAGTCATGTCCAACTCGAAATGAAATTTGAATTCATCACAAAGTTTCTAATTCAATTCACATTTTTTCTCTGTCTCTTCCTTATTTTCTTATTTTAATGCTCTTTTATTTATTTTTTTTTGTCATGCCATTCATGCTGTTGCTGCTACTGATGCCGTTAGGTGAACATCCTGCTGCCATTCAAAGTGGAAACAAGATAGAAATTAGATTATATTTTTTAATATTAGTTTTCATAGCACTTTCAACTTTTACGTCGTCTGTCCAAAGATAATTCTCTGTGTATTTTTATTATTTAAATTTTCTACTAAAATATATTGTATTGTATTATTATTAAAAGAAGATGTAGTGCAGAAAATAATGATGAAATTATTATTATAATAAATATTTAAGAAATGAATGAAAACTTCATTATCTTCTTATTTCTGTTCTGTACTTTCTTTCCTTATTATTATTTTTTTTTTGCTATAATAAAGTGTTGAGATAAAAGAGATAAAATTTATTGTATAAAAAGCTGGTCTTTTTCTTATGCATAAAAAACTGTTTTCTTCCTCAGCTTTCTTTTATAGCGCACAACATGAATTAAGGATCGCATTTCAGTCTTCTTTTCATGGCGATAAAAATTAATAAGCATACAGATGAGATAGAACTATCATCGATAACAAATTGTTTATTGCTTATCCTCATTATGCTTAGATGAAGTTTTAATTTTTTGTATTGGTGGAACTTCAACCTGTTTTTCCTATCCACATGGATCTTAAAATAAAATAGAATTGTTGACATTAAGACAAGGGTGTGGAACTGAAGAATTACATTTTGATCATTTTTGATCAATTTTGATCCTTTTTGATCAATTTTGATAACTTTTGATCAATTTTGATCTTTTTTGATCAATTTTGATCTTTTTTGATCATTTTTGATTATTTTTGATCATTTATGATCATTTCATCAGTACCACACCCTTGCATTAAGAGCTAGTTCATAAAGGTTTTTAAACAAAAGAGTTTTTCAGGATTGTATTTAGGGTTTTCAGTGCTCGAGGATCTTGCGTAGGACTTGAAAGCACTTAATAAAAATTATTTGGCTGAGAACTCTAGGAACAAAGTTTAATCTTCCACTTAGATTCATATTAAAGATTTTAAAAATATCTTTTCAATTTTAAAATTTCTCAATAATCCAGAAAACATCGTGCTTAGCTTCTGACTCTAATCTTCTTGATTTTTCAATAACAATCGATTCTTATGTAAGATTATCTTCATGAATATTGTATTAATACAATATAATGCTTGCTTGCATGTTGAACTGAGTTAAAAATAAACAAACGGCTTAAATTTGACCTTTTTGCTTGCATATCGAACTATAGCTTTGAAGAAGATGATTTTAATTTTTTTGTATTCATGTTTTTTGATACAATATTAAAAGATATGGGGTTTTATAGACGAATAATGATGATAATGGTCCATCAATTATGAGTATTTTTCAAAAGATAAGAATAATTTCGTCTTTTGAATTTCGCTCACCTTCTTCTTTGTTGTTATGTTAATCCTTAATATTTTCAACATCTGTTATGAACAAAAAAGTACTCAAACTTTCTTTTCTTCAGATTAAATTTAATTTCATAGGATTTTCAGATCATTTTTATCTATAATTTTAGCTTAGAGACTGTCCTGCGTCGATTTCCATAAAAATTGTTATTTTCTGTAAACATTTGAAGCTTTTTTAGGATGAAAAATTTGAATAAAAAGTTTTGTTGGAATTATCATTTTTATGAGATAAGGTACCAAGAGGATTAAAATGAATAAATAATTTATACAATTAGATACAATTTAAATGATTTAATTTTTAAGAACTTGATTATGGATAAAAAATTTCTTTTATTAAATTTTGAAATGATTTTAAATGTGTAAAAACAAGATGAGTTTAATCGGCATCCTGGCAATCAATATCTCCATTGGCTACTTCTTGATCTTCTCCTTTGACTATAGTGTCCTGATGTAACTTTTCAAACCAAACTTTAAATTGATCAAAACATTTAATATTTACACAAAATTTTGAATTTCTTAAAATTCATATTCAAAAGTTCTGCTCAAGTTCATTAAATCTACAAAAACTGCTTAAAACATATTTCAATTTTCAACTAATATTTCAAAAATGTCTTGTGGGCGTAAAGTGGCAAAACATTTTCTCAGTGGATGCTGCCTGCCCATAATAAAAAAAACTTCTCCTTTTCATTTTATTGTGTGCTTAACTTTTATGAAAATTAATTTTATTGAACATTTTATTTTCGAACCGAATGCTGTAGAGATTTACAGGCTGTAAGCTTGAATGAGAAGCTTATGGTTGGTGCTATTATTTGATATTAAATAGAGATTGTGTCTGAATTAGAATGTAAAATATTACTGACAATAGAATTATTGTTTTCTGAGATTAATTCCTTGTGCATCTAAAATGGATATGGGGAGGGTTGAAGTCAGGCTTATTTATGGATACTACAATTTAAATAAAAATAAAAAGTTTCCAAAAAATTAAATCAAAATATCAAGATAAGTTCTGATTAAACAAATTGAAATATTGATCAGATCAAATCATCAATATTGCATAACTGCTGAAGATGATGCGGATATTATTTCCAGAGAAAATCACATATTCTGAAATATGGTTATGGTTTTTTGAAGCATCTTATTCAGTTTGATAAAATCAAGAATGGTAATAAAATGGGTCAATTTTTGCTCATAAAATCATATCTGATCAATATGAAAATTGAAATTTCTGTAATAAATGGAGGATATTTCAATTTAGCAAGAAGATTTTGATTTTGTGCAGTAAGTCAAGTGTAGGTATTTGAGGAGGTAGTAAATTATAATCTTAAATTGATCTTTAGAAGGTGGAATGGGGTTAAAGTTGACTCTCAGCTTAACTTAAAATTGATATTAACACGAGCTGACTTCAATCTGTGATTAATTCTATTAAATAAAGTTTTAGGAATAAACTTTCAATATTCTTGACGTAATAATCAATTTTAAAATTCTCGAATAAGATTTCATTAAAACAACATCCAATCAAGTTTTCTTCCTCACAAAAAACAAATTTCCAGGAAGCATTTCGTCGAAATTAATTCAATTAAGCAATTAATCCACCCACAGTTATTAAAATAATTTGAATAATTTAACAGGAAAATCAAACAAGTCGCTTCCTAGTATTAAAAGCACACCTACACGATTTACAGTCCTCATCATTAATTAAAAATCATCCGAATAATTAAAGAGATATGAAAATTGCCGTCTCAAAATGAAACACTACAAAATTCATCAAAGAAAGTGGCAATTCCTCTCCTCCAAAGCAATTAGCAACATAAAAAGTCATTTAATACGATTCTTGATTTTTCAAGGAGATTAAAAGTATGAAAAAATTGCTGTCATCATCATCTTCTGAACGATTTCTTCTGCTTACATCGGCAACCTCGAGAGGGAACTAAAGAAGCAGTTTTTTGGAGACGAAGGAGGTAAGGAATAACTGCATAAGTTATTCTTTTTATGGCGCTTTTAAAGCTGTGGTACACTCTGAGATTAAGCTGTTTCTAGGGGCTGGTTTCTAGGACTACATGGGACACTTAACTAGTAAACCCCTGCAATTCAGACGCTAGTTGTCAATCTTACATCAAATCTATTAAAATAGATTAATATTAAAAGACAATCAGAACACAGAAAAACTCACTTTCCTCGAAGTCTTGCCACAAAAAAATACAGAAGAAGATGGAAAAGATAAACATTTCCTCATCAATAAATAAAGAAATTCCCTTTCATACTTCATTATTATTTTTTATTCATATACCAGCGAAAAAGAAAGAAATGTGCTGACGTTTCCATATTTTACTTCATTCGTAAAAACTTGTCTTACTCAATTGGCATGAAAGTAAGCAATTTGTCAAGAACGAAAAATATACTTATTCTTCTTTTTGTGTTCGTATGAAATGCATAAATTATTGATGATGTGGAAAAATACTTCTTTGCTGCCTTGCTGTACCTGTTCGAACACGAAACCGCAATATGTCTATTCAATATGTTCAAAAAAGATGTGAATTGACTGATAAGTATTGAATATATCATAAATATGCCAAGGAATATGATATAAAGAGAATTTGGTTGGTTTTTTTGTGTGGGTTGAATAATGTTTTGTGGATTATTTTTTGTCTGGATGTCTGAGGATGAATAATGATGCTCTGTGTTGGGGTTGTTTCGCTTATGATGTTTATTTGTATGAAGTTAAGATTTGATTGCTTTTATTGTAGCTCATATTGAGTTTAAAGCTGGTATGAATCAAACCTGCGTTCTTACAAATCTAACCAATCGACTGCAGAAGCCCTACCTTCCATTTGCTGAATCAATTTAATATTTTGTGCTGCTCAAACCTCATAATAGGACAAGAACATAGACATGCAGAATTTAATAGACATCACTCACAAATAATCCCTTCAAGAACAACAGTTTTATCAAGCACGAACTATCACATATGTCATATAGTACCGCAGTACATTCAAAGCTGTACATGATCCATAAAAAAATTCACAACAGCTTCAAAAAGCGCCAAAACCATTCAGCAACAAAACTTTTAACAATCATTTTCTGCATACCACACCTCAACAATCAAACTGTTATCAAAACAGGAAGCGCAAGGCGTTATAAAATGCTAGGTTTGAAAGACTAACAATTGAGTGAGAGGAAACTCGCCGGAAGCTTCATGTATGTGTTTACATAACATGTGTATAGCGAGAAAGAAGAAGTAAAAATTACATTTCTATCTCCTATCAATATCTTCATTGATAGCTCACATAGCTGCAAAAAATAAGAAAAGTTATTGATTGATGAGACTTAATTTGTATAATATTCCACAAGTCAATCTACATTCGCAGTCAGCCGAGAAAGAGAGAATAGAGAGAAAGTTTAATCTCTAGGCATCCACAAAAGCCAAAGTTTTTTTCCCTTCCTTCCTCATCTTGTGCTTACTAAGCCTAATTGATTTCTCCATCAAAGCTCAATTGAGTGTTACAAAAAAAAAAAAGTTTTAATTTGTTTGTGGGTGTATGGAACGCATTATGTGATTTAGTTCCGATCATTGATTTGTTGTGAATAAGTAGGTATGAAGCTTGTGAAGTTTTGAAATTAGCATTAGGTTCTAAAATTAGAAGCTTCTTAAGAACCGTTTACTTCTTACGACCTTCCCATGATTGTATATTCAATTCGACAACGAAAAAGCCTGAAGTCTTGGTTCTAGTTGTTCAATCTCTTACTAATTCACTCGAAAGTAAGTTCAATTCCCTTTGTTTTCAAAGTTCTTTATGTTGCTTGGATTTTATTCCTGCGAGCTTTGAAAATATATGAGCTTTATATTTGCATTTCACTTCATTGTTAGGAATTGAACTTACTATGGTTGCAAGTTCTCGGTATGA